ACCATTTTTTGGAGTGATCCCTTTTGACATTTTTCTTATTTAGGCATCCTACTTGCCTGAATGTGTTTTCTTTAAGTTCTAGAGTGAAATTTCATGAATCTTTCATGCCAACCTGTTTTTAATTATATATTACATGTTCGTTGGTGGAAAAATTTCCCTCAAAACTTGATTATATATAACATGTTCCATTATCCACAAATATGTTGAATTTTGTTTATATGCAAATAAAATTATCTATACATACATAAAAACTTAATACATGTTAAAATTATATTTTTCGTTTTATATTTTTTTTAATGACAGTAACAAATTAATACCTACACATATTTATGACTCTAAAAAAAATGTGGTTAGTATGTGCATATTGCTTACACATAATACTATTATATAAAATGTACAGATAAATATGGAATGCCATATAAATAAAATAATATATGTAAATGGGCACTTATAACAATAATTCAAAATTAATTAAAACTGAAGTGGAAGTTCAATAACAGAATGTAAATTAGGATAAGAGTTTGAGATACAGATAATATCTTCCGAGATTAGTGAGATTATGGGGTTATTCCAACAAAATCGCCCCCCACAAATCGTCAAAATCCTATTAAAATTCAAACCATACTAGGATGCAAGGAACGCAGAGTGAAATTCTAAATTTTCATTTCCCTCCTCGTTATATTCTATAACCAATAATGAGAAGCAAGTTACAAAAACAGAAAATCAATCATAACACAAAACGAAAACGTAAGTCGAATTAAACCAAAAAAAACTTACTTGAACAAGTGATGAGTCGGCAAGCAGATGACGGCGACGGAAGGCAGCTGATGGCGACGGCAAGCAGATGATGGCAACGACGGTTCGCTGATGACGACATCGAACTCGATGACGGCGACGGTAAGTAACACCGACGGCAGTGGAAAGAAGTAACTCCGACAAAGATGGCAGCAAAGTCGATGTACACCATTGTCAGCGGCGACGGAAAGATGCAACTCTGGCAGTTCATCGGCTGGAAAATGAAGAAGAGAGGATAAAAGGAGAGGGTGTGAATCGGAGGTGCCAATGGAAGAAAAGAGAGAAAACGAAACGAATGAAGGAAAGGAGAAGCGGAAGATTAAACATTGGCCGCTTCATTTTGAAGCCCGCTAAAATGGAGGCGGACAAAAAAAATAGATAGTGAAACGAAACCCTAAACTGTAGGACTATTCATTATTCGGATAAAACCGAATTATCCAATTGGACAATTTGGATTGGACTATTTGGTTCGGATATTCGGATTTTTGGATTGATTTTTAACAAAACCGAATTATTATTTGGATTTTGGATTGGTTTTGGTTTATAAAATAAGAACCGAATAATCTAAAAAAACCGAATAAACATTTATTATTTATCTATTTATAATATATATCCACAGTTATTTATTAATTTGGTAACTTATTTTTTCAAATAGGTTCAAAACGTTTCACCCGATAAAAAAACATTAATATGTATTTTCTCTCAAAAATTTTCTATCTATAAAATATTTAACTATAATATATCTTCTTAGTAGTTGTTTAAAAATTTCAAAATGCAACTAAATAATTTGTTTTTGGTTCTTGTGTAAAGTTGGGTAATATTAATATTATATATCGTGTTAAAATGTTTCGTTTTTTAAAAACCGAATTATAAAAAACCGATCCAACCGAATTGTAATTCGATCGGATCGGATCGGATTTGAATTTAGATTGGACTATTCGGATCCATGTTTTGAAAACCGAAATCAAATTGGATTCACTTGATTGGATCGGATCAAAACCGATCCATCCAAATAAACACCCCTACTAAACTGGGATGATGAAAAAAAAAAGGAAAAAAAAAAAGAGGACTAGAGTGATAGAACACGAGCACTCTACCAATACAACCATAGATTTTCCATTTGGCTGGGAATGCCACATCCGAAATAACATTGTCAATAATTGTATTTGAACACTTAAAATTCCGTTGTTATTATTATTATTATTATTATTATTATTATTATTATTATCACTTTTATTATCATTATTACTTTTATTATTATTATTATTATTATCATTATTATTATTATTATTATTATTATTATTATTACAAAATGGGTTAAAGCTTTATTAAAATATGTTTCACGTTCGATATATGTATAAAACATGTGATGGTGATGGTGATGGTGATGAGAATGTTGATGGTGATGGTGATGGTGACGATGATGGTTATGATGGTGATGGTGATGTTGGTGATGGTGATGGTGACGATGATGGTGGTGATGGTGATGGTGATGTTGGTGATGGTGATGGTGATGGTGATGGTGATGTTGATGTTGAAGGTGATTATGATGGTGATGATCGTGGTGGTGGTGATGATGACGATGATGGTGGTGGTGGTGATGTTAGTGACAATGGTGATGATGATAATGATGTTGGTGATGATGGTGATGGTGATGATGGTGATGATGATAATGATGATGGTGGTGGTGATGATGATGATAGTGGTGTGGTGGTGATGATGATGATGATAATGATGGTGATATTGGTGATGGTGATGGTGATGGTGATGACAGTGATGATGGTGGTGGTGGTTGTGGTTGTGATGGTGATGATGATGATGATGATGATGGTGGTGGTGATGATGATGATGATGGTGATGGTGATGATGATGATGATGGTGGTGATGATGATTATGATGATGATGGTGATGGTGGTGGTGATGATGATGATGGTGATGGTGATGGTGGTGGTGATGGTGATGGTGATGGTGATGGTAGAGGTGATGGTGGTGGTGGTGGTGGTGGTGATGATGGTGATGGTGATGGTGATGGTGATGATAGTGATGGTGATGGTGATGGTGATGATGGTGATAACGGTGATAGTGATGGTGATGACGGTGATGATGGTTGTGGTGGTGGTGATGATGATGATGATGGTGGTGGTGGTGGTGATGGTGGTGATGATGGTGATGGTGGTGATGACGATTATGATGATGATGGTGGTAGTGGTGATGATGATGATGATGATAATGGTGATGGTGATGATGATGATGATGGTGGTGGTGGTGATGATGGTGATGGTGGTGATGATGATTATGATGATGATGGTGGTGGTGGTGATGATGATGATGATGGTGATGGTGATGATGATTATGATGATGATGGTGGTGATGGTGGTGATGGTGATGGTGATGGTGGTGGTGGTGATGGTAGTGGCGGTTGTGGTGGTGGTGGTGATGGTGGTGGTGGTGATGATGATGGTGATGGTGATGGTGATGTTAATGTTGATATTGATGTTGATGGTAATGGTGATGGCGATGGCGATGGTGATGGTAGAGGTGATGGTGGTGGTGGTGGTGATGGTGATGGTGGTGGTGGTGGTGATGATGATGGTGATGGTGATGATGGTGATAGTGATGGTGATAACGGTGATAGTGATGGTGATGACGGTGATGATGGTGGTAGTGGTTGTGGTGCTGATGGTGATGATGATGATGATGATGATGATGATGATGGTTGTGGTGATGGTGGTGATGATGATGGTGATGATGATGATGATGATAATGATGATGATGTTGTTGTTGTTGATGATGATGATGTATATGAGTTTGTGTGATGTATGTGAACGTATTCATAAGCATTATAGTGTTAAACCACTAAACGAGCAATGGATATCGTATGTATACACGGCTTTATAAATGATATTAATAGTTATAAATTGGTGAAAATATAGATAATCATGTATAATAGAGGTTTGAAAAAAATGGAGCGAAAAAAACGACGTTTGGTGCCCGAAAAATCAAAAATAAGAAAAATCCGTAGCAATTCCGTAGCTAATTAGCTACGGAATAGCTACGAAATTCTAACGGAAAGCATATTCCGTAGCTAATCCGTAGGTAATTACCTACGGAATATGCTTTCCGTTAGAATTCCGTAGCTAATTAGCTACGGATTTGCTACGGATTTTTCTTATTTTTGATTTTTCGGGCACCGAACGTCGTTTTTTTCGCTCCATTTTTTTTCACACCTCTATTATACACGATTATCTATATTTTCACCAATTTATAGTTATTAATATCATTTATAAAGTCGTGTGCACATACGAGAATCATTGCTCGTTTAGTGGTTTAACACTATTACTACTAGAAAAATAGCCTTTTACGACGCTCATTGAGCGTCGTAAAAGGCTCAGACGACGCGCAAATGCCCGTCAAGGAAGGCCTGTCATAAAAAGAGACGACGCGCATTTACGACGCTCATTTACGACGCGCAATTACGACACACGTTTACGACACGCAATGCGTATCAAGGAAGGCCCTGTCATAAAGGAAGACGACACGCATTCACGTGTCATAAGTTTACGACGCGCGTGTTAATAACACGCAATGCGTATCAAGAAAGCCCCTGTCAAGAAAGGCCATGTCATAAATGAAGATGACACAGATTTTTGCGTATCATAATTTTAAATGTTTAAAAAAAAAAATTATTTATAGATTTACTAATTTTCAAATCAAATTTGTATTTAATGTCTCATAATAAAAAATAAAATACCATATACAAAAAAAATAAAATTCATTGCATAAAATTTAATGTCATACAAATAATAGATGAAAGTACATTGCTATTTCTTCTGTTTATCGCTATACTATTCGATGAAATTTCAATGTGACATTAAAGTAATCTCCCCAATGTGACCTAAGAGACAATTTGATTACATACAACTTGAAAAATGTGGGCATCCGTCCTCAAAATTTTCTATCTTTGCAAAAATCTTATTACGCACTCCCCATGTGCTAATAACCTACAATTTTCCAAAAAAACTTACAACTTAAATGAGTATATGATAAGAAACATCTAATGGAATCACAAAAGAGAGACTTCACCTCCTTATCTTTATCAGTGATAAGAAACATCTCCTGATGGCTGTTTCATAATCTATGATTTTAGAATCGAAATCCTTAGTTTTTTTATAAAGGTCTTCTATAAGGGAAATATAGGTCTCCAACTACTTAGCTTCTGTGAATCCATCATTCGGATGGATCTCACCCTCACTTTCTTGATTCTTGAATTCCCCTTTTGCCCTTGCTGCAGCTTCAAGTTCTTCAGCTATTCTCAGTTTTGATAAAGGGCGACTAGCAGCTAATTACCTAAAGCTGTCAAAAGTAAAAAAAAAAAAAAAAAAAAAAAAGTAGAATGAAAAGATGCGGCTTGACTAATTAAAGAAAGATTGTGTTGCAAAAACATATATCAATCATCACCTGTTGAAATATCGATCCAACTGCTGATTAGGAATCTCCAATATTCGTGTGTGAATCATGGCAAGATTCGACCATTTCTATAGTTGATACTCATATTCAATGTATTTACCCAACAAAGAAAATGAAAGATAATCAGTTCCAACATAAGCTAGACCCTGTTCAAATAGGCTGAAAAGAACATCATAAATAAAATATTTAGTTATATTAACCATATATGCCCCTTGTAATAAGTAGATTAGATCTAGAACCCACAACTTTACTAGAAAATCTCTACTCTGAGTTAGTTCCATTGTTAAAACATAAAAACAGTTTTACTATTATAATAAAAACTTACTAGAAAATCTCTACTCTAATATCAGTGTACACAAGTAAATTCCAGTAGTCCATTACAGTTCTTAGCAGGGGGACAAGAAGTGACCTCCTGGAGATCATGCTGTCTCAGAGTGGCATCCTCGCTGGCACTCCAGACAACATTCGGATTACCAGGTTCTACCTGAAACAGAAAATCCATGATGATGAGAAGATGATATTAGTAAATTTGTTAGGGGAAAACATATATATATATATATATATATATATATATATATATATATCTTACAGCTAATTTTTTTAACTCTCCTGCTGTGGCATTGAAAATGAGCTGATAGGTTACTAGCAGTATCTTCATGTGTGTGAGACAAATTGAATAGTCGAACCTACAGGTGTGAGTTAAGATTATCAGAAGACATGTGAATGAATGAAGCAATGAACAAAATGCAAGGAGGGTTACTTCAGTATCACCAGCTCCAGATGCTACCAACTCATCAGATGTTTCAGGAACAAACTATGTGCAAAATATATTATTCCTATGACTACTGTCAATGGAATGCAAAAGCTTGCGGCTTTCATAACTCCAAAGATTTACCTGAAACAGAATGGAACATCGCTAGTTTAAAAAAACTACATGTAAAAAAGAAGTATTATTAGCTGCATTTTGCTTGGTTTTCAGGCATCATACAGGTAGCTTATACATATGAAGAAAAAAGGTAGGAAGATGTACATGAGCATCATCAGATCCAAATATCAATAGTGAGCCTTTTGAATTCCAAGCGATAGTATTTACACATCCTTGATGCGCCTGAAAATCAACACATATCAACTCTTTATCAAATTTTGGTAAACAGAGACAAGTAGATGTATATCTAGAGTCTGCAACATAAAAAGGTTAGGGCGTATAGGTTTCTATCTCAATTTTTCTCATAGTGATCAAAATACTTTTCATTTCTCTTCCTTTCTCCTGGATGGAGCAATACATACAGAAGGTAATTGACACTAACGTGCTGATCAAAGTTATGATTCCAATAGAAAAACATCCCTTGCATGATATATCAAGATTTAAGCACATAGTACACACCTCCAGTTCTCTTTCCAAATAAAGCCTTCTAATGAATGATGAATGCATCTGTAGACTGTGATTTATATCCTGTAATATCACAAGATAGAATATCAGAATCTACAAAAAAATGTTGCCAAGTAAATACAGAACCACAATATACACATGACAACATTAATAAAACAAGGAATAACATGAAGATATCCGATTGATGATCAAATAAACAGCTAGCAATATGAAAAATATGTAAGAATAAGATATATTTACCTATATGCATATATAAGCGAGTAAATGGAGTACAGGTATAAGATTACTTCAACATTGTTGGTTAAAGTATTTGGTTTCATATAATGAACATTGAGATTGAAACTAACATTAAAGATTCTATCAATCAAAAAATTTGGTTCTATAGAATCATTTTAAAAGAATGGGCATCAGAGCCAACTGGATCTCTTCTGGCTCAATCAAGGTTAAGGAAGAAGAATATCATTATCTTAACATATGCCTTTGTGCAAGAGACTGAAAAGATTTAATCTCAAATGAGAAATGTGCCACCAGTTTTATTCCCCAAGTAATTTCTAGAATTTGCAATTCCCATAGTTTGATGAAAATGAGGGCTAGTCTCTAAAACTGATATTGTAAACCTAAATGTATATATGCAATGTTCCAAACATTATTACCATATATTGCATACATAATCCATTTGGGCAAACTAGATTTGTAGATGTAAAAAAAAATGCTTACCCTAAAATTGATAAAAAGGTGTGCAACTCAGGGGCCAAAATTGTATTTTACTCTAAAAAGTCATTGAAAAAGTTAAAACAAGGGCAAAACGGTAATTTTAACAAGCTTAGCTCATTAATTTATTTAGCTGATTTCAGAAACGCATGCTAAATTCGTAGCCTGAAGGGGCCTTTTCTTGAAGGTCTAAAAGATTCATTCGGAAGAGCAGCTTCAAGAAAAGATTGTCACGATCACATTCTTCTTCACACTCACACCTGTCATAAAAAAAATAAAAAAATTATAAATAGAATTTAATTATGTTTCATTTTCTACCATTGACAGCTTCCTAACATGTAAATGGAGACAAGACTCAAACAGAGATAGGAGGCTTCATGGTACACCCTTTACCATTCCTTATGTTAGTTATGCTTAAATGCAAATAAATAAATAAATAAATAAATCCTGGATCTGCTACTTTATGAGAGAATTCATTCCCCAATGTTGCATCATTTAAATGTTCAGATCTAAGAATCTTGACAGCAACATACTTACCAAGGTACTCTCCATGGAATCTTTCAACAAACAAAATAACTGATATTAAGATACTTGTAAGAATTAGGAATTCGCCCCCTGTAGAAAAGAAGGTATAAAGAAGGTATACCTGTTAATCATGCTTCCTGGCTGAACAAGAAGGAGCGTTCTCTCTTCTACCATCTTTAAAATTGTTTAAGTCAAATTCGCCCCTTGTAGAAAAGAAGGTATAAAGAACATTAATAGTGTTGGATTTCCTCTTTGTAATGCTTCTCTACAGTATAACAAACAATATCTAACAAACTTAGTAAACATTAGACTTTAAATCCTTTTTATGTAGACAAGTAAATGTACCTGCCAATCATGCTTCCTGGCTGAACAAAGCTAGATGCATCAACAACATGTACCTGTCAATCATGTCTGCACATTACAGAGAACCAAGATCAGTTCACCAATGATACAAAAGTTAACTACCACAAGGGTAATATGGTCAGTTAGTTGAAGTGTTTGAAAGTGAATCAAAATGCACTTTTGGTTGTAATTTTTCTCTTAGGCATTTCATCAAACAGTTGGCACGCCCTAATTTGAGAAAAATTGAAATAGAAGAGATAAATGGAGAAATTACCGACTTGTTCAATGGAAATTGGAATGAAAATAAACCCAGTTGATAAAATTGAATTTTGATTTTTTTTTTATTTAGTGTAATGAAAATAAACCCAGTAGATAAAATTTAATTTTGCATGAAAGGTAAAGGAGGACCTGAGAACTTGAGGTGTAATTTTAGAGGTATAAGACAAGGACCATGGGGTAAATGGGTAGCTGAGATTCGAGAACCCAATAGAGGTAGTTGATTATGGCTTGGAACTTTCGGGTCAGCAGTTGAAGTTGCCCTAACTTATGATGAAGCTGCCCGAGTCATGTATGGTCCTTGTGCTCGTCTCAATCTGCCAAACTGTCGAACCATATTATTCTGAATCAATGGTGGTTCCTAATGGTGCTTCAAGTTGTGACTCCACTACAACGTGCAGCCATTCTGAAGACTCCAAAAATGGTCAGGTAGTCAAATGGTCAAAGATAATTGTGAATTGAATAGCAACGAATCAGGTAATCCGCCATTGATGACGACTATTAAACAAGAAGTTGAAGATGATCAGGAAGATGACGACTGGTAATAGCAAGCCCTAATTTGAGAAAAACTAAAATAGAAGAGATAAATGGAGAAATTACCGACTTGCTCAACGGAAATTGGAATGAAATAAACCCTTAGTTTACAAAATTAACCACAAAACTTCTTTTGATCTTCCATCTTGTGAGAAAGGAGAATTCGAACCTTTGTTTGTGGTGGTGTTGGTGGTCCGATGTAGATGGGGTGTTGGGGGCGGCAAGGATTGTATTTTTTCAGAAAGCATGTGAGAATGTCTTTGCGGTGGTGTTGGCGGTCTGAATCTTGAAGAGTTAATACTTGGGTAGCCTTCCATATCACGGTTCCTTGTTTCATCGATGCCTATACATCCGAACAGAACACACTACAAATATGGTGGTGTGAGTGATGGCTAGGGTTCTTGAGAGAGAACAAAATATTTTTTGAGAAAGCGTGTGAGAATATCTTTGAAGATATTGTGGAGAAAAGAATACAGAAAGAAGCAGGTCGAAGGAATAACGCAAGAACACTATTGGTGAGTATTCTCAAGAGTATCAGAGATGAAGCATGTGAAATCACAGCAGAGATGAAGTAGATGAATGGAAATCAGAAGCATTTTTTCTTGATTGATATGATGAAGTCGAGAGATGGAGATGAAATTGTAACCATGGATCTGTGATTGAGAAGTTGCACAACATTGAGAGGAGAATGGAAGATGCATCAAAACACTTAGGGCAAAGAGGGTAGCGGGCTTTTCTAATTTTTTGGCTTTTCTTTTCCCGCTTGTAGCTAAGGAACGCGCGTTCATAAAATTATAAAGCGACACCTACAGAGAACGCGCATTTAAGATACAACGCCCTCCGTGTTTTTAATTTTTTTTCTTAGGGCACTAATTTAAGGGCGCGCAATAATGCGTGACCTAAATCCTTAAATTTTCTGAAGAGATGACACGTCTTTAATGTCACTCTCGGTTGCGTAACATAAATTAATGAGTGTCGTGGTTTGCGCATCGTAAAAGGCTGTTTTTCTAGTAGTGTATAATGCTTATGAATACGTTCACATACATCTCACAAACACGTATACATACACATATACACGTACACATATACCACAACTCATTCATGTATATAAATATATATATATATATATATATATATATATATATACAAACATAATCCATCAGAAGTTGGTGAAAAGTATAGGCATTACAATGTTAAACTGTGAAACGAGTACTTGATCCCGAAAGGGCACACGACTTTATGAACGATATTAATAGCTATAGGTTGGTGAAAATATAGATAATCATTTATAGTAGAGGTGTGAAAAAAACGAAGCAAAAAAAACGACGTTTGGTGCCCGAAAAATCAAAAATAAGAAAAATTTGTAGCTAATCCGTAGCTACTTAGCTACGGATTAGCTACGGAATTCTAACGGAAAGCATACTCCGTAGCTAATCCATAGGTAAATAGTATCTGTAGGTATCCCGTAGCCATTCCGTAGCTAATTAGCTACAGAATAGCTACGGATTAACATATGTAGCTATTTCGTAGCTATTCCGTAGCTAATTAGCTACGGAATAGCTACAGACTGACGTCCGTAGCTATTCCGTTACTAAATTAGGGCATCCCATTCGGTAGCTAATCCTTAGCAATTCCGTAGCTATTTTCTGTAGGAAAACCCCATGTTTTCTAGTAGTGATATAAAGGAAATGAATCTTGAGGGGTTGGCAAAATCAGTCCACAACTTTCTATATTTTCAATACTTTAGATCTTTGACACTAGACTTTATCATATTGCCAATTTAGTCCCATTAAACTGTTACTATTTCTCAGTAACCTCATGGTTAAGCATTTTACTTCCTGATCCTTCCACCGTCTTCCTTTTATCTCCCACCGCTTCTTCATCTCGATCCTTCGACAGGGTTCTTTTTAGAAGCGATTGAGCATCGCCATCATTTCTATGCCCACCGCCCCTTTATCCCGATCAAGTGCTCCACCACTTTTGTTACCCAACCGGGTGTTCATCGAGTTACTGTCTACCATGGTCACTGCCTCCACCACTTACTTCCTATGTACGATCCATCTTCTCCCTTCTAATATTCGTCTACCCGTTACCGTCTCTAAATGGGTGCAGCAATAACAGGTCGGAGAGGAAAATGAAGGAGTCTCCAAGGTAGTCGGCATCTGGTTGTGTCGAAGACTGATTCCTGTCGCTGCCGACATAAAGGCTTTTGGGTATCGGCTATTTCAGGTACATATTTTCTTCAACGTCTGCTCCTATATCATTTCTTCTCCCATCGTTCCTTCCATATGCGACAGATTTCTTGAATCCATTTGTTAATGTGTTGTAAACCAGATACCCATATAAAGTCGAATAGATTTTTCAATTTAGGGTTTTCATTTTACCTTCGCTTTGCTCTTCAGATGTCTGTGGCATGCAATGACAATACGCCTTCTCCACCTTGCATCACCCCATCAAAATCGTTTCTGATCCTCACTGCCTTCAACTGCCATCCTTCAATCGTAGATGTGAATTTTTGTTTGGTTTCTTTCCGCAATCGACTGCAGATGCTTTTATTTCTAAAAACCGTAGACTTTCAGATGGTTTTTGCCTGGGATGGAAGATGTAACACGAACTGTGGATACCGACTGGTTGTATCCAATACAAGGGAAGGCTGTAAGGTTGCATGTTAATTTGATTTCGCTGTAGATTTCAGTTCCTATTACATGTTAATTTCATTTCAATTTTGTGTATGCAGTGGATTTTAATACTTATGTAGACGATTGAACCCTATCATTCCTTCCTTTACAATTTATTTTTCGGTGTGAATCAATTTACAGTTTGGAGTACTCATTAGCGAAAGGAAAGCTACGTATCGACTCTTTTTACTTGGTTACTCTCTGTAACTCTAATTTATTATTGTTTGTAAGTCACCGTACCACCACCATAAGCCAGGTGACCCGTCAAACGTGCCTGGTTGATACGTGTTCTGTTTTAGGGCTTTTCAAGAGGAACCCGGGCCTTCGACCAGTATTGTTCATCGATTTTTTATAACCTTTTTTGTTTGTTACTACTATAGTTTTGGCAAAAAGATCTCAATAAAAACAAATTTAATAAATAGTTTTTATGCTGATTGATTACACTATCTGTTCCCTTCCAGTTGATATGCTTATATGATCATTTAATCATGAATTCCAGTTTAAATATTAGGGTAAAGCTTATAATTTCTCTGACTTCATTCATTTGCTATTAATTTAAATCATTATTACAATGCTTCTTCTATTTGTTTTTCTCAGGTTCCATTATGAACCCTTGGGTTAAGTGTCTTACTCTGTTTCAACCAAGGAACCTAGGAATGGAATCACCAATTCCATGGATCAAGTGATGATGGGAGTGGAGCTTGAAGAAGTGGACTAACAACCATGACTCTTTACACCCACCCATGAATCAAATTACATACTATCTTCTGAGACATTTTTATTTTGGTAGTTTCTTTAATGATAGCTGTCTTATCTTTTTTCATTCCAGTAAATTTAAATGGAGATCTGCATTATACAAGTGATAATGGTGTTGACGATTGCAGTTGCACCTGTTGTATCTCTTGCTTCATTCGTTACTCCTAAACCTTCTTTTTTGTCGTTGGTACGCTTAATAGTTTTTTTTTAGTAAAACCTAAAATTTAGTTTTCTAATCTAATTTAACAGCAATGAATGTATTGATCTATTTCTGGTGTTTATTGGAGTTGGATTATTTATGTTTCATCAAATTAAATAAATTTTATAAATCAAAAAAAAAAAAAATTCATAAGATACATTCGAGTTTAATTTTTGGGTTGAAAATTTTGATTCGTTAATGAATTGTTGTGAGGACTACACTTGACATCGGTTGTGGGGTACGTATGTTTTTATTTTCAATTCTTTCTAAATGTTTTTTGTTTGATTTAGGATTTTTGAAAATTGTGATTTTTTCTTTTTTGGCATTGTTTTTAGGTAGCAAGTTTTGGTCCTTACCCATGGAAGAGAACCGGGTGGGTACTGGGTCCCGTTGACATTTGGTAAAAAAAAAAATTTTATTTGATTTATTAATTATTGAATTAAACTATATATATATATATATATATATATATATATATATATATATATATATATATATATATATACACAAGAAAATCAAATCATGTGACTCCTGGAAGTGGAGGTGATTAGGTGGTGTTTTTTGAACGACTTTATGATGTGGTCCCACCGAGGATAGTTAGCGGCTTGATTCCAGGTCTGTCGGTTGAGAAATACATGGAGGATGGTAAAAAAAAGTAGAATATACATGGGAATGATTATAAACAGATGAATGGAATGATTGATTCTAGAAGGTATCAGAATGTAATGTATATGAATACCGCTTTGGAAGGATTTGCAGTTGGAATTCATTCCTCCAAGTTGTGGCTTATGAATGTTGTTCCTACTTCTGCTGAGGCAAATACTCTTCGAGTTTATTTACGAGTGTGGCCTTATTGACATATATCACAATTGGATATAATATACAAATCTTTTAAAACATAAAATTTATTAATTAAAAATTGATTATTAAATTAGAAAAACATTAATTAATTAATAAAATAATATTGCAGGTATGAAGTGTTTTCCATGAATGCAAAGAAGGTATAGTAAGCACATTGTTTGTAATTAGCTGTTCCATTCGGTTGAGATTATAGACTTTGAAAAAAAAGATAACAAAATCTCATGATTTATGATCATGGGTTTTTGCATGAAAGGGTTCTTAAATGTATTAAGGTTGTGAGCATGGTTTTACTATCATTCACCCCCAACTATAATCTCTTTAACCGACTCTATTTCTCATTTATATATATATATATATATATATATATATATATATATATATATATAATATATATATATATATATATATATATATATGTATATATATAATAGCTTGATAGTTTCATTTTTTTCTTATTAAAACATTCTATTTTAGGCTAAATACAAAAAATAGTAATGTACTTTCATTTAATTATGTATTGTAGCATTTTGCTTTTAGTCTTTCCTACTATACTTTCATTATGTTTTTTCATTAAGACATTCTTTTCCTCCAAAATACAATGTCGTGATAGGGAGAAATGCAAGTTGGATTTTACCATAATCAGATGAATAAAAGTGCATTGCTACCTCTTACATTTAACTTTTGAATTGTTGGACATAATTCAGAAAGTTTTGTTCTACTTTATTACATGCTTACCAGGGACAAATTAGAAACTACAATAATATAAAGTCCAAAAAACAAAACTACGTTGTAATTTCTTGCATATAGCCTAATCATGGTCTAAATGCAATAAAACAGTTTTTTTCCTTTTCTTTATGTATGACTTGCTGTGTGTAATATATTAGAGTTAAATGCAGTAATTAGCAATGGACTTTCATTTTCCTTTTTTTGCAACATATTATTTTCATTTCTTATTTTCTAGGGTTTGCATTGTATTTTTCAAGGCAGAGAATGAGAATCAGATGATAACAATGCACCCTCTGTTCTATCCAACGTCTCCACCACCACGATCTGCAATTCGATGTCTCCACCACTTCATCAACTTCTCTCGTTGGGATAGCACCAATCAATAGACCCGTAAGTTGTTGATTTTCCATATTTTCAGGTTTATGTTTTTAATTGGTGAATAAAATTACAAGTTTTAGTTTTGTTTCTACCGGTGATCTTCTATAATAAATGACAAACCCTACATCTTTTACATTTCGACTGTTGTTCAGATTAACTTTTATGAATTTGTACATACATATGTCAACCTACATCTTTCAATTGACCCACCTATGTTTTATGAATTTGTACATACATATTGCTACACATCTCCGTTTTCAAGATTTAATTCCCCTAAAAAAGCTTCAAATTCGACTTAACCAGATTTGGTTGACAAATTATTTATTTATTTATTTATTTATTTATTTCATTTGCGTTTTGTAAATATTCAGTTCAGTTGGGTTATTTGATTTCTTCTGTAATTTGTTATTGTTTGCTCATCAGGAGACCCTATGTTTATTTGTTTTTTTGTTTGATTTCCTTGTTGCAGGTAGTTTGTTTTGAAAACAGTGTTGCCTATGATTTGAGAAGAGGAACATGGGAAGTATGTACATCTGATCTTTGTGATATTTCTTTGTAATTTGAAGTTCAATTCTACTTTTCGTTAGCTAGAAATCATCTCTGTTTGTGGTTGCCTGTTAATTTCATTATTTTGTATGTGTACAAATTACAAAATACCTGTTACCAAGTTAAAACCAAGAATGTCATATAACAAAATAATTTTTTCCTGTTAATTTCATTATTTTGTATGCGTACAAAATACAAAATACCCGGTACCATGTTGAAACCAAGAATGTCATACATCAAAATAATTTTACTATTAGGACTTTTGCTTCTGTTAGTGTACCACCAGTAATTATGGGAATTGGACCTTTTGGCGATTCCAGCTACAGCCAAGGCTGCCGTTCTACAATTTGAGGACATTGATCATTTTGAGATCAATGAGGTAATAATAGTTTTCATTTTTCTTCTTTTCTTTAAAATATTTGTGGACAAATAATTGTTATATATGTATTTTGTTCAATCACAGTTCAACACCACAGGTCCAAGTGATGCTTCAACATCACTCCCTAAAGAAGGTGGTTGTACTACAATTGACTTAATTACCCCTAAACAAATGGCCAGTGAAGGTGTGTTAACTTTTTTGCCCTTGTGATGATGGCTGCCTTGGTGGTTTTCTGATATGTTTACGGTTTCTCATCTTCTCTTCATTCAACAGACGAGATCTACACTTTTTTGTGTGGAATGAATCTTACAAGTGGAGAATTCAGTATCGTATGAACTTTAGCGTTGGAGAAATTGATAGTTGCATGGGATGTCGGTCTCAGTGTTATCGATGGCGATAGCGAGGTCATAGCGACAACTTACCTATAAGCTATGTAGCGATAGCGATGAAATAGCGACGGCTATTTCATTTTTAGAGAATACCTTTTAAAAAATTTATACTACTTTTACCTTTACCTAATTAGTAGTTATAACTAATAAATAAGCTAAAAACCCCAAGACTATAACTCAAATAAGTTCTAAAACATGCATACCACCAAAAAAAAAGAAAAATAAGTGTTAATCTTAGACTCTAAAGTACGATTCACAAATCATCCAACTCATCGTATACGGGCTCATCATCAACTTCTTCTTCCACAACTTCTTTATAAGCTTCAACATCATTTTTCCTCTTCATCTTCGTCTATTAACTGTTGTCCTCTAGATCGCGAGCTAGACTCAACACCCTCTTTCCTCCTACTCGTTCTTCTTGTAGCATAAGGCTCCTCATCCACCCCCCATAGCCTCCGCAACTACACCCGACGTCAAGTTATCACCTTCAAACACAAAAGCATCTTCTTCCCCCTCCAACCAATCATTCGGATCTTGAACGGTAGAGTCGTCTAAGATGATCGGGTCAATCGTATCACGCATATCATACCTCCTTCTTAAAGCCCGATTATATTTTATGTAAACTAAATCATTTAGTTTTTGCCATTCAAGTCGGTTTCTTTTTTTGGAATGGAGCTACAAAAATAAAAAATAAACATTAGTAAGTATTATTAAAAGAAATATATTTATATATTTCTAATTATTTTAAAAATAATGAGCTACTTACTTGTTCAAATACGCTCCAGTTACGTTCACACCCCGATGAACTACACGTAAGACTTAACACCTTAATGGCAAACTTTTTAAGTGTCGGTACCGACGATCCATATTACATCCACCACTCCGCTGGTGAAAGCATTGGTCTCATTTTTTTAGCCATCGGAATCCCAAAAAGTCCTTGGGCACCTCTATATGTAGGGAGCTCGGTGTGAATCTTCAACTCCTCCTCTTCCGACAATGACAACTTATGTATGCATGCCATCAACCCCTTAATCACCTCACTGTCATCTTCCACGTTCGGGTTATTGTAATATAATCCCGGATTCAAATAGTGGCCGGCCGCATGCAAATCTTGGTGTAGTTGACAATTCCACCTTTTGTCAATTATTTCAAAATTTTGTTTATACTTGTCTTTTTTGTTGTTGAAAGACGATGCAATCCTTTCTTTTGCTCTATCCATGGCTTCATAAATGTATCCCATTGGAGGCTTTTTTTCACTATCTACCAATCGAAGCACCGTTAATAAAGGCTCACCAACTTTGACCGCAATATCTATATTGGTCCAAAAATTAGGAGAAAATATAGTGTTTGCCGTTTGAGCTCCTCCCCCTCCCGCTTCGCCCGGGAACTTGCTTTTGTTCCATGCTTCAGATGTGAACATCTTCTTCAAATTTTTCTTGTGATTTCTAAAACAATTCAAAGTTATGAAGGCGGTAGCAAACCGGGTCTTTGCGGGCCTAACCATATCTCTTTGGCCCGTGAATTCTCTCATCATATTCAAAAGTAAGGTGCGGTTGTAGATGTAACTTTTGACTGCAATTGCTTTATCGAGTGTCTTTTTAAGATGGGGCATTTTAAAGATGTCCTCAAGCATCAAATCGATGCAATGCGCCGCACACGGAGTCCAATATATATGTGGATATTTTTCCTCCACAAGTCGATCGGCTAAAACATTGTTGCTAGCACTATCGGTTACAATTTGAACCACATCTTCCGGGCCCGTTTTTTATATGAAGTGATGAAATAATTTGAATAAGTATTCACCTGTTAATTAGAAACATGAAAAAACAGCATTAAAAACAATAAAAGCAGCATATAAAACAGAAAAAAAAAACAGGAATAAAAAAGGAAAAAAATAGTATATAAAACAGAAAAAAAAAACAGCATAAAAAAAGGAACAAAAAAAATTGCATACCTGTATGAGAACAAGCAGAAGCATCTACCGATTCTATAAACATACTTCCTCGTGGAGTATTTACTAGGAAGTTAATAAGTGATCTTCCTTTTCGGTCCCTCCAACCATCCGCCATCAAAGAGCATCCGTATGACTTCTTCTCCGCCTCATTTAATGTCAATAGTTTTTTTGTGTGCTCCATCTCCAGCTTCAACATAGGAACACGTACTTCATGATAGCTAGGGGGTTTCATACCACAACCATGTACATCAACCACTTCAAGTGCGGGCCCAAAACTATCACACTTCACTGCATTGAATGGAATACCAGCATCATACATCCAACGACATATCTTTTGAACCGCATCAAGTCTTAACTTTTTGTGGAATTCTTTATGTTCAGAGGTTCCAACCAAGTACCCCTTTGTCTTCCTTGTTTTCTCAGATGGCGGGTACATCACATCCAAAGGCCCTTTCGTGGGGTTCTTTGTGTTTACAGCTGAGCCACTGGACGACATGGGCCTCTTGCTTTTCGAATGGAAAAAGTCACTATTAGTCGTATCTTCTTCATCTTTATCGTCTAAATCAACAATGGCATCGTTAAAGTGAGGTATTTTGTTCAACTCTTCTTTATGTTGTTTCCTTTTCTGAAATTCATCTTTAAAACGTTTCTGCACTTCGACTGGAACTTTGGTACATTTTTTTACTGAGGGGGAATCACCAACAAGGTGATGCTTGTGTCTTGTAATCCCACCCTTGGAAAGGAAATTACAAAAATCACATACCACCCAAGCATTACCCTTTCCTTCAACTGGTTTCCCATAACCCCATCCCAAATCATTACTAGCCATATCTATTTCACAAACAAATCATATATAAGCATGAAGTATATGAATTAAGTTACAGATTAACAACCATATCTTTTTCACAAACAAATTACCGATTAACAGCCATAACTGAATAAATGCATAACAGATTTACAACCATAACTGATTAAATACATACATACATACATATATATATATATACATACATACATACATACATACATACATACATATATATATATATATATATATATATATATATATATATATATATATATAAAACAGATGTTACAGATTAACAGCCATAACTGAATAAATGCTAACTGTTACACATTTGAGGTATACATTTACAACAAAACAAAGAAAGAAAACAGAGCATAAAAATAATCTGTAAAAAACACAAAAAAATCACCTGTAAAGCTGAGATGAAGAGAAGAGTTGGTGCAGGACTGCAAGTCAGTTGTCGGAAGTGAGGAGTACTTTGATTGCAGGAGAAATCGTAGGAAGAAAGGAAGGAGTTGGCGACGGAAGCGAGAGAGAAGCGAGTGAGAGGCTGAGAGCGTACGAGCCTTATTTGACTTGGTCAACTAAAAAAATCCTAAAACGGGTCTATATATACCATATAAAAAAAAAGAAAGAAAACTGAGAAATGTCGCTACGTCGCTATGCAATCGCTATTTGACCCATAGCGACACTTGGTCGCCTCGCCTCGCTAAACACAATAGCGGTCGCTATGATCGCTATTGATAACACTGGTCGGTCTTAGTCTTAGGTAATGATTTGATTTAATTTCATTGTGGAAATTTGAATAGGGTGGGAAGATGGATGGGGCTGTTAAGACCTGCTGTATAATCTCTTTCAATTTAGCAATATAAATTCTTTTTTTTTTATAGCATACAACAACACTTTGATATCATTTCTTATTAACACATTGTCCTGTGAAAATTCTATCTAATTATTGGATTGTATTTTCAAAATTTTCTTATTATAGCATTTACACTTTTGTAAATGGACAAATCTCATACAATGGCAACGTATTTTAATGTGGCTAACAACTTAGGCAATGTACTTTAATTTGATACAAAAGCAACACCTTCTGCCCCCCGCAACGCGGGTGGAAACTTTCTAGTTATTATTATTATTTATAATACTAATAGTTATGATAATTTGTAATAACTAATAAAAATTATATTATTTTAATTAAAAAGTAAATAGTTATTTAATTACTAATATTTATTCATAGTAATTAAACTATTTTTATACTAATACTAATAAATAAGTTGATTTTTTTTAATAATTACCCTCAATTAAAGTTATGAATGTCGTGTAGTTAAGAGATGTTTACTGTCATGTGCCTAGAACAACCACTAACAACATACCAAGTCTGATGATATTCCTACAAAGCTGCTACGACACAGTGTGAGATCAGTTGGTTTTTGGAACCTAGTCCATTTTGAAATTGGATTTACCATTACTATCTAGACAAGGTACTATTTCCCATGATATATCATGTTAATTAGAAAAAGAACATAAAGAAGTTACAAGACTTTTTGTTGATTTTGAAACATGACCTTTGGGAAGCCATTGGTAATTAAGTTTGTGAACTTTCCTGTTCAACGGATCAGGACCTTTTCACTTACCTTTGGGATGTGACTACCTTTCGATTTAGGCTTTAATTGTGAGTGTGAGCTAGAAGACGACCCTTAAGATGAATTTGTCTGTAACATCCCTAAAATATAGTCTAAAATTTTCGTTTTAATTTAATAATAAAACCATAGTTATCGAACATCATAAAAAAGTCATAAATAGTGTATCTCAAAATATCGTAGCAATTGTCAAAATATCAGAGTATAAACATCCTAGGCTGAATAGATGGTGTGTGCACTACAATATTCCCGAGCTCTTCTTTTGAAAACTGAGTACCTGAAACCAAAACTGAAACTATATGCACGAAGCTTAATGAGCTCCCCCAAACTACCACATACCATACAAAGCACATGTAACAAATCACATAACTCTAGGACTCTTCCCAACTACATATGGACGAATCCCTGCATCGGCTTACCCGACATCAGACTCCTGTCCGACATCGGGCTCACCCCGGCATCCGACCGCATCAGGCATCGGGCGCACCCCATAATTGACCTTACCCCGGCACATAGACAACATAAAATATATCATAAACACATAACATAATCACGTAAACTTCATCAGGCTTGCGCCAACATCGGACCGAAGCCCATAACAACAACGTTAAACATATAAACTAGCATACATCGGGCTTGCCCCGAAATACATAATAGATGGCATAATTACTAACATACATTGGGCTTGCCCTGGCATCGGGCTTACCCTGGAACACATAACATATAGCTTAATCATATATATATATATATATATATATATATATATATATATATATATATATATATATATATATATATATATATATATATATATATATATATACTGCATCGGGCTTATCCGGCATCGGACCGGAGTCCGGAACACATAACACATAAACATGCATGAATCACAGAGACATCAAGCATACATAATTACTTCTCGGGACCGCCCCGGCATCGGATCAACGTCTGGAAACATACAAACTGCATCGGGCTAACCCCGACATCAGGCTTACCCCGACATACTCTACTACTTAAACTAGCCGACATTGGTGCCTTAGACCCATTCCTACTAGAGGAAAACTGACCTTGCACTGCTGAACCCTTGCTGATATCCCTCTGGCTGCTATGTGACAATTCCTGAACCGCTGCCCCTTCGGCTCCCCGAGCTATCAATACCAAAACATCACTTAGTCCAATACCATAATTCTTCATAGGGTAGAATGACCATTCTACCCCTCCTAGCCCAACTTGATACATATCCAAGGTGCACTACCATGATTCACAAGGCCCAATACTAGGTAATCTTGTCAAACTCACTAATGGCCCTATTTGCTATATTTGGCCCAATCCCTTCAATGGGCCTTACCTTAAGCCCATAACATATTTTTGGTCCATATCAGCTGACGCACGCTGACCTACAATGGCCTAGAGTCCCAAAGTCCAAAACACGACCCAAGCCGAGGCCCAAAATTGGAAACCCCAAACTCGCAGAGTACGTGCGGCGTACTCCTATGTACGTTAAGCGTACTAGCTGATGGCTTGTACGTTGTGCGTACCTCCTTGTACGCCCAACGTACAGACCTGTTAAGCCACTTTTTCATTAAGTGCTTAATACGCCATTCCAAAAGCTACAAACATAGATCTAAGTCCTTTTCGATGTTCTAATCGATAAAGTTGCTAACTTGGTGGCTTGCAAACCACCAATTAAGCCCAAAATCAAAAGGTGACAACCAACTTCCATAAAAAGGGTTAAATCTTATGCATGAGCTCATTAGGACCATCAAGATTGAGACTTTACTGCTTATGGGACACTTTTAACTCTGAGAGTGGCAACCCCAAGCTTAAAGACGAAGTTGCATCATAAAGGTCCCTCATTTGGACCGAAAAAGGTCCAAAGCTCCATAAACCTAGATCTAAGATTACCTAAGGAAAGTTTCAGACTTTATACCTCAAAATAGTCTGAAATAGTTACACAATCTTAGATCTACTTCCTCCCCTTTGATCCACCACCTTGCTAATCTCTTCACTTGCTTGGAAATGGCCTTACAACACCCAAAATGCTCTCTAATGACTCCCAAGGTTTCAAGAACACTCAAGAGAGATTTAGGGTTTCATGGTGGCTGTATAAAGATGAGATGGAGGCTATTAACCTAGTGTCATGTTCTTTATATAATGACTTGGCCCTAAAATCAGGGTTTCTGGACATTGGGCGGACGCCTTAAGCACCCGCGATCCTTTTTCCTTTATACGTTGGGCGTACCTACGCACCTTCCACTTTGCATGAATGGTCCTTTTTGCCAAGTTTTCCATTAAGGGACCATTAATGTTAATAAATTCAAAGTGCTATAATTCTTCGTTTCAAGTCCATTTCCGACGAACTTTATATCCACGAAAAGGTGGCGAGAAGCCCTACGCTTGTAGCAACACTCATCAGTCCAAACTTCTCAAATAAAACTCAAAGCCCTTAAAAGACCAAAATGACCCTAGCCTTGGCCTCTGAAATCCATAAACGATTATTTTTTGATCAGGGTGTTACATTGACATTACCGATTTCAGGTTGGCTGAACCATCTCTTGAATTAGGCTTCTTGTCCGTCATGCCCTTTTTGTCCTTGGGAGTTTGATTTTCGACCTTTTTAGCAATCCAATCACTATTGTGTGAACGTAACCTCAAAGGGTTTCTTTTGGAAGATCTCCCCCTAAGCACGTTCTGCCAACCTTATTCATAGTAGGAAACATATGAACAATGTGGGCAATTTCTAGCTATATGACCGTGAGTCCCATAGTTAAAACAAGTCTGTCTTTTCAAATAAATAAGATTGTTACTTAGTCCTTGTAGTTTGTTTCAAGGAACTTCCACAAGCACAATCATGTGAACATTTATCATACTTAATAACAGATTTTTGTGGCTTGAGATTTTCAATAGTGGGAGCATCACCATCATACGTTTTTGAATCATTTTCAGCAGAACTAGAATTATTTTTGTTCTGCTCATGCCCATCTTGCACTATGACCTTCTCTGCACATGAGGTAGAAGCATTAGGATCGTCCACACTATCATTGTTTACTGTCTCGACTACAACAGGTTTGTCATACCGTAGATGCGCTTCCCATGCTAATTCTTCCTCAGTCAAAGGAGTGAAAGTGTAGTTATCATTGAATGGAGGAGGAACACTATCATACCCTAGACCTACATTCATTTTGTCTTTCCATGTAAGTTTCTTTTCAATTATTGTCTCAAATTTCTTGCTTAACACATCAAATTTTTTTAAATTAAAATCTTTATTTTCAAACTCAATTTTCAATGTGTCAAGCTCGACAATTAGACTGGCAATCTTTTCTTAAGCATAATCATAGTGATCACATTTAGTGTTGTATTCTTAATTCTTTTTAGATC